GGCCACGAACCGTGTGAGGGGCGCGGCGCTGACGATGGCGATGGCGATGCTCATGATGATGTGGATCATGACGATGGCGATGATGATGACGATGATGACGCTGACGATGATGATGACGAGGCGGATGGGAAGAGGGAGGGAGGAGGAGGAGGAGGAGGAGGAGGAGAAGGAGGAGGAGAGGAGGAGGAGACACGGGGCGCTGTCTCTTCAAAACGAGGACCCAACACCACAGGATGGTTGGGAACAAACACACACACACACACACATCCCAGGATTTCCCCTATTTTCCCATGTTTTCTGGGTTCTCGTCTTCCCCCACCACTTCCCTGATTGTCCCATATTTTCCTGGGGATCGACGATTAATTGTGTCTGAGAGTTTTTTCCCCCTCCTGAGGTGTCTGAGTTCTCAGAGAGCCCCTTCCCCCCCCCCACCGTCGCGCCACCCCAGGCCCAAATCCGCCCGAAACTGGCAGGTTTCCGCTGGATCGGATCGCGAAGTCGGATCGGATCTAGAGCGGATCGAATCGCCAGCGAATCGTCCCGAATGGGATCGGTGTCGAATCGCCGCGCCTCGCTTCCGGCTGGCCCTGGCCCATGCCGGTGAACAGAGCCGGATCGCATCGAATTGGAATCGCGGCCCCACCCAGCAAATTGAATCGCATCAAATCGAATCGTAGGCGGCCCTGACTGGGCCCCCCGAGCCCCTCCCTGGACTCGCAGCGGCTAGCCTCGCACTTCGGGTACACGCCGACATGGATCAGGGATCCACGGATCCGGCGCGCAGGCGCCGAATCCACGGATCGGGGAAAACACACCCCGAAACATGGCGGCAACGCCGACTGATTTGGCGATGGGGCGCGCCGATTCTGTAAGGAAATGTGACCCGTCGCTAATCCACGCACCATAATCCAGGGGGGGGGCCCGTGCGGCATCGGGATGGGCGCGCCACGTCCAGGAAGATGTGAACCCCCTCCTCCGACGGCGCAGCTCTGCTCGCCACCGTGGCACCCCTGGGATCTCGGAGGAGGGAGGAGGAGGAGGAGGAGGGAAAATGAGGAGGAGGAGGAGGAGAAGAAAAGAGGTAAGAGGTTAGAAGTAAGAGGAGGCGGAGGAGGAGGAGGAGGAGGCTCGACATGGTGTTGTTCGCTCGGCCCCGGGTGGCGGGGCCCACGTGCGCCGGCCCAGGGTGGTGGGGCGGGCAGCGGGCTCAGCTGTGGGCTTCGCCACGGGCGGCCCGCCCCTGAGAGTGCCGACCAGGAAGGCGACGGACACGCAGAGGGCGCGCCATGATTAGCAGCGAAAGGATCCCTGGCCCTTTGGGAGGGGACCTGAGTTAGGAGGACCAGGACAGTAGGGTTAGGGGGTCCTTCCTGCAGAGGCATCGGACCAAACCACCCAGATTGACTATGCCTAGTGCAAAGACGGGGACCTAAGTGAGGCCACGTCTTCAGTGTGTTACTAGGGTTAGGGATTCTTGTATTCTCGACGAAACCTGGTGCACATTTTGGCTGCGACTGGGGAGGAATCCCTCGCGCTGGCGACGGCGGTGCGGGCCGAGCTGGCGCCGCGGACGGCCGAGACGCTGGACAAACTTTGGGCGTGCCTCCCGCAGGGAGCCCGCCGACGGTGGCAACGGGGCGCCGCACCTGCCGCAGCCGCCGCCGCGCCCGGCCGCTCCGCACAGTGCCAAGCTCAGGAATGAGGTGGTGTGCAAACTACAGTGGAGGCTGGTCCACAAGAAACCTTCCACAAGAAACCCAACCCTCAGACCCCAGGGCGTCCATCGATGTTTGGTGTGGGAACGTCACCACGCTTTCCATAGCAAAACCCTCGAAACCCAAGAAACCCAGGTCACCCTGGAGGCGAGCAGGGCGTTTCTTGGCATGGGTCCCCACTGTACGGTGGCGCCACTTCCTGGGGACGCGGCTGGTGCACTTGGGGGCGAGCGACGGCGACGGCGAGGCTTCTCATTTGCTCACCCAGGCTGCCACAAGATGTCGCCTTCGGGGAGCTGCCGCGGGAGGTCCTGGAGACGCTCCGCGCTGGGGAGCTCGCGGCGCTCACGAAGGGCGCCAGGGTGGTGAGGCCTCTTCTGCTGGGCGCCACACTCCGCCGCCTGAGGCTACGCGCGCTGGCTCGTACACTGAAGGCCCAACTAGCTCGCGCGGCCAGGAGCACTCAATAAGGCGTCGGCGCGACAGTGGTAAAGAACTTACAGGCCCTCCAGCTGGACGTGACGTCCATCAAGGTGGACGTCAAGGCGGCGTTCCAGCGGATGCGGTGCGTCCCCGCTTTAGAAGCCATGGACGAAGCTTTTTCTGCAGTCTTGCGGTTCTGGTACTCAAGCCCTGCGTGCGGAGCACTTCTGGCGCACGGCCAGCAAACGCTGCCGCTTGCAGCAGCTGGACCCTGGCGCGCGCCAGTACTCCTACCTCGACGACACCTACCTGGCGGCGCGGGCGGACCTTGGAGTCCTGGCACTGGCAGGCATGCGCGAGGTGCTCGCGCCCCTGGGTCTGGAGCAGACCAAAATCAAGACGCTCGTCTGGTCCCCAGCCGGGGGGGTCCAAGCCGTCCAGGCCGAGCTCACCAGCATGTATGTGCCCGCGGGCCAGCCTGGAACGGCTGCTGCACGGAAGCCTCAGGCGGCTGGCGGCGGCAGCGCTATTCAACTTCCTGCGCCGGCTACAAGCACAACTTGCGGCTGGCGCTGGCCACGGGAGAGGAGACCTTCCGCTACGATGCGACGCTGCGGGGCCACTGGGGAAAGCTGCTGCGGCGGCCGTGGGCGGGGCAGGGCATAGCGCATACCTTCAGTAGCCCGACGTGCTGGCCTGCACCCTGGAAAGCCCGCACTGGAAGGCAACGACCCGAAGCCGCGTCCAGCTGCCGCGGCCAGAGTGCTCCGCCGGCCGACGAGCTCGCGAGAGCTGCGGCGACGTGCCAGAACCTGGCAGCCAGCGGGACGCCTTGCCAAGCGCCGCTGGACCCAGCGGGGTACAACGCTGCCATCGGCCAGCCGAGCGGAGGCGTGGTCTAACGGCACGCAGGCGTGGCACGCGCAGCCAGCAGCCTCACCGAGAGGTGGCGCCACTGCACCCCGCTCTACGAGCAGAGGGCGCCCACTTGGGACAGGCCGCGCGCATCGCGGTCCGGACAGGCGGCAGTCCTCGAACGGGCCATCTTGGACGTCGAGTACGACGACGGCCGCGGGAGACGAGGCGGCCGTGCCCCGGCGAGCTGAGAGCGCGAAGCACGGCGGGGCGCGCCGAGGCTCTGCGCGGAGCCCGCGGGCGCGCGCTGGCGGCGGCGGGGCACACCGGGCGGCGCGCGGACCGCGCGCGATGACAGGCGCGCGCAGCGGGCGGCGCCACCGGCGCTGCTCTGCAGCGCTGCACCTGGCGGCGGCGGCCCTGGAGGAGTAGGACCTGGGCGGCGGCCTTGGAGGGTGCTTCAGGGCTTCTTGGGCTGGCTGGCGAGTATCTCTCCCTCCCGAGGCTTCCTTGAATGGGCCCGCCCTCGTGCGTACGTGGTGACTTGGCTTGCCTTGGCTTGGCTCAACTTGACTCGACGCTCTCTGGGGGGCCCGACGCCTCCTCGGGGCTCTCCAACACGTTCCACGGCAGCCAAGACTGCGGGCAAGATTTTGACTATATCCACTGCGTCCTGGAGTTTCGGGCTCCCTTCCTCCTATACCCGAGGCGCCGTCGATGTGGATCAAAAACGATTTCGCCCCGAGAGCTCCGATTTTCATCAATATCCACTGCGCCGCGGCCTCTTGGCGCCCCTTCCCAGAGAGTCCAAGACGCAGTGGAGATGGACATAAATCGTGCCCGCGGAGGGGGGCCCGGAGCGCTGGGCGGCGCTCTCGGTCGACGCCTTCTTTGTCGCGTGCGTCGCCCCGTTCCTGGGGATGTCCAGCCTGGAGGCCCTGGACGGCAGACAACCGCCTCGCTGGGAGCGGCTGCTTCTGTAGTCAGCTGGCCACCCCCAGGGTGAGCCGCCCTGCTTGAGGGGCGGCGGGGAAGTCCCAGCGGAGGCACCCGCGGTGCCGCTGGAGGAGGAGGAGGAGGAGGAGGAGGAGGAGGACCAGTGCAAACCCAAGACTCATCAACGATGTTGAGACAAACCCTCCCTCGAAGCACCCTCTTCATAGGCCCCTACGGGATTTCCACTCAGGGAGATGCCTCGCTGGAAGACAACCGTCGGAAGATCCTGAAGAGTGCCAGCACATCATTTTCGGAAGTTCAGCACCAGGAGTGAACTTGAATGTTGCGTCTTGACGATCCCGAATCGTGCCAGAACACCATTCCTGGGACGTCAACACCACGAATCAACGTCGTTGTCGCGCCCTGACAATCCTGAATCGCTCTCAAGCATGGTTTCTGGAACGTTACCCCTGGGAATCCGTGAAAATCCTGCAACTGTTTAAGACGACTGTGCGCGGCGCTATGGCGAGAACCACATTTTGAAAAGGAACCGCCCTCTGTCCGTGAAACTCTGGCAATGTTTGAAAACGAATGCGCTCGGCGCTAAGGCGAGAGCAGCATTTCGAAAACGGGCCGCCCTTCATCCGAAAACGCTTCCACATGTTTAGCACGAGCGAGCGCGGCGCTACGTAAGGCAAGAGACACATTTTGAAAACCGCCCGCCCTCCATCCGTGAAACTGTCGCCCATTGTTGAACTTCAGACTGATGGATGGTGAGAAAGTCTCAGGCAAAGCGCCTGGCCCACCCTTCCGACTGGTCTCAGGGTGCGACAAGGAGGAGTTATTTGTAAGGACAAGAAATGGAAGAGGGAGGGAGGAGGGGGAGGAGGACGAGGAGGAGGAGGAGAAGGAGGAAAAGGAGGAAGGAGGAGGAGGAGCAGGAGGGAGGAGGAGAAGGAGGATGAGGGAGGAGGTGGAGGTGGAGGTGGAAGAGGAGGAGGGGAGGTGGAGGGGCAGGGAAGAAGAAAAGCAGGAGGAGCAGGCAGCGTGAGTAGCAAGAGGGAGGAGGGCCTCAGCCGCCACCGCCGCGCCAGAGCCGGCGCCGGGCTCGCCGCCGAAGGGCGAGACTGGCGCGCCGATCTCGGCGCCACTCCTCGAGGGGGTACGCGCCGCGCGCGCTGAGGCTGGCGCGGGGCAGTCGAAGCGGGCCAGGCCTGGCTGCTCGGCGCGATGCGCCAGTGCGACGCCCAATAGCCGAGCTGCAATCCTCCTCCAGCTCCTCTGGTTCCTCCTCCTCCTCCTCCTCCTCCTCCGCCTCCTCCACCTCCTCCAACCTCCATCGTCCATCCTCCATCCTCCACCCTCCACCACCCATCCTCGTCCATCGTCCTCCATCCTCTTCAATGATGTTCCTCCATCCTCCCCCACCCTCCTCCGTCCTCCTCCATCCTCCTCCTTCCTCTTGCATTTCCTCCTCCTCCTCCGTCCTCCTCCGCCGCCCCTCCCTCTTCGTCCTTGTCCTCGTCCTCGTACTCACCCTCCTCCTCCTAATCCTCCTCATCCTCCTCTTCCTCCTCCTCCTTTTCCTTTTGCGCCCCTTCTTTTTAAAAATCCTTATTAAGAACTCCTCCCTGCCGCACCCCGAGGCCGGGCGAAAGGGCAGGCAAGGCGATTCAACTTTTATCTTATATTATGTTGAAAGTGTCACTGATGGAGGGCAGCCCGTTTTCTAAGTGCGGCTCTCGACTTAGCGCCGCGCACATTCGTCTTCAGAGTTTGCAACAGGCTCAAGGATTTACATGTTTAGCGTACCAGGCATAGTGTTTTGGAACGATTCAGGATTGCCTTGATTCGACATGCTGACGTCCCAGGAATAGATTTCTAGCACGATTCATAATCTTCAAAACGCGACCATGATGGTGAATCGCGGCGTTGATCTTCCAAGAATGGCGTTCTGGCACAATTCCGGATTTTCGAACACTTGCCTTCCAATGAGGCACTTCCCTCACTGCATCAATCCGTGTATGGGGCCTACAAAGAGGAAACTGTGAAGGAGGGTTTCTTGCAATATCGTTGATGAATCTTGGGTTTACAC